TTTAGCAAGGATGCTTTACATTGATCAAAAGTGATGATAAAGACATTTATAATGTTACAAAAGATTTCTATTTCAGATAAATGCTGTTCTTCTGAACTTTCTATTCATCAAAGAAACCTGAAAAAATTCTACGCAGTTTTCAACAAATTAATAAATGTTTTTTGAGCAGCAAATCAGAATATTAGAATGATTTCTGAAGGATCATGTGACTGGAGTAATGATGCTAAAAATTGAGCTTTGAAATCAAGATGGAATAAATTACATTTTAAAATATTTCCATATAGAAAACAGTTATTTTAAACAGAAAAAAATATTTCGGTTTTTGCTGTATTTTGGATCAAATAAATGCAGGCTTGGTGAGCAGATGATAATTAAATAAAAAACATTAAAAATCTTACTGTTCAAAAACTTTTGACTGGTATGTTAGCCTATAGTTTGAAGTTAAAGATATTAATAATTAATAAGGTGAATCTGAGATGTTTATTTGACAGTGATTTCACATTTCTTGTTTGTATGAAGGCTAAATACAACATTAATTTATTTGTGCTGTTTTTTTTCTAAAAAAATTAAATAGTTTTATAGGAAGAGATTTCATAGACTTCGCAAATTAATTTTTCATAAGTTTGTAGGTACAGACATCTGTTGTGGGTGTTCTTGGCAGTTTTTATGAGGCTTTTTTTTAACAGTGTTCATATCGATATCTGAATTATATCGTATCGACCAAAATTAAGAAATATATCGTGATATAAATTTTGGCCATATCGTCCAGCCCTAGTTTCAGTTTTTACTACTTAATATTTTTGTGGAAAACCTGACACTTTTGTTTTTTTTTATTCTTTGATGAATAGAAAGTTCAAAAGAGCATCATTTATTTGAAACAGAAATCTTTTGTAACATTATAAATGCCTTCAAGGTCCCTTTTGATCAATTTAATGCGTTCTTGCTGAATAAAAGTAATGATTTCTTTCTAATTAAAAAAAATAAATAAATCGGACTCACCCCAAACTTTCGAACTCAGTGTATCACAGTTTCCACAAACATATTAAGCCATAAAAGCTGTTTTCAACATTGATAATAATCAGAAATGTTTCTTGAGCAGCAAATCAGCATATTAGAATGATTTCTGAAGGATCATGTGACACTGAAGACTGGAGTAATGATGCTGAAAATTCAGCTTTGACTCAAAGGATTGCGCTTTAAAACATTAAAATAGGAAGCAATTATTTTAAATTGTAATATCACGATATTGCTGTTTTTCCTGTATTTTGATCAAATAAATACAGCGAGTGTGTTTGTGTGTGAGAGTGGCCGTGTGACTCTCAGACGAATGGCACAAAGAGTTCGGGGAAGTAGAGACACATTTCTCATCATTCCTGAAACTGATTCTGTGAGAAGTGTTTTTGATATCAACATTTTGACAACAACTGCTGTACTTCAGGTCTGAGGATAAGCAGAAAAAAAGAGATGGGGAGAGGGGAAGAGATCGGGACCCTCAGGGGCCGAACGCTGGCAGTGAGTGTGCATTTCTGTACAAGATGTTTTAGGAGTTTATGTGTGTGCTTACATAAAGGCATTTGTATGTGCAAGTAAAAAGGGCATATCAGGATAGTATTGAATGCCTGAATATGTATATATATGATATCCAACTTTATCCTCATGTAAAGCGATATATTCTATCTCAACTGGCTGACTTTTTTTGTTGCAAAATGTAACTATATTATCACACCACTCTGTTCGTTCAACTTTATCCCCATATATACAGTATGTAGGGATATATACTAAATAGCAAATCTCAACTGTTTGATTGCTTGTATCATCACAAAATTGAACTATATCACTGTTCAGCTCTAATCTGCTAAATGCGACTAAAGGGCATGAAGATGTTAAGATAACAAACATTTTAATTTCCAATAACCATATAATTATAACCATATTAATTTCCAATTAACAATAACTGGACACCATTTGTTGAATTTCCTTCCTTAATTCATGTATTCTAGAAATGACAATATGACAATTCGGAGCTATTCATGTTTTTAGACTCATTATTGTTTTCCATGACAAAAAGATCCATGTACAGTTTTATTGTTACTGACAGAACATCACATTAATATTCAGTGTTGGGGAAAGTTACTTTTAAAAGTAATGCATTACAATATTGCGTTATTTCCTAAAAAAGTAACTAATTACGTTACTTAGTTACTTTTTATTGAAAGTAATGCGTTACGTTACTTTTGCGTTACTTTTTAAATCTGGGTTGGGCTTGCTTGTTTGCTCTTAATATAAAAAGTTTTATTTTTAGCAAATGTAAAAGCCCTTTCGCACCAAAAGCCTCAGGCTGAAGGAAATGTAAATTCACGTCTGTACAGTAGAACGCAGAAGAAGAAACTTCAACACTCTTCAGCAATAAAAGAAGAAGAATTGTTATTTCTGCTTATTAGTATGGTTGAATAGGATCATCGAAGGTCAGCAGCAAATTGGTTAATAAAATGGGATTAAATACATAAAGGATATTTGTATTATTTAACATATTTAATTATTGCAGTTTTGTGTCATATTCGGAGTTGCTTTTAACCGTTTTTTTTTTTGTGAGTGATATGCATGTTCACATTTATTCTAGAACTAAAGTAACATCTTACTCCCGATTTCTCTCAACA